TGATTATCGTGACGTCATCGTTTTCGAAAAGCTCCATTTTCAAAATGTTTTTCTGTCCACACTAAAACCAAAAGCCAACGTTTTAACATTCCTCCGGTTTGAAGAGCGTTTTCGAAAAGCTCCATTTTCAAAATGTTTTTCTGTCCACACTAAAACCAAAAGCCAACGTTTTAACATTCCTCCAGTTTGAAGAGCGCTTTCGAAACGCTCCGTTTGCGTGACGGACTTGTGTGGACGGTAGGTGCTAATCGTATAAATAAAGATGCGTTTCCAAATTTCTTCGGCTAGTCTGGACGGGGCCTTAGAAACACACCAGAACAGGGAGAAGAATGGTTTATTCATTTATAGTTTTCTTCTCCTCTCTTTGCTTCAAAATTGAAATTGGTCTGTCGGGCAATATAGGAAACAGAAAACCGTTTTTTGGAATGGCGTTGTATATTATGAGAAAGTAGCGAGGACTTAATTCTGTCCGTTGTGGTTCGGCAGGACAAAGCGAAAAGGCGTCTATTTTAATGCACTAGTTCACGTCAGAGTTATAATAAACAGCTTGCTTGACGTCTGCCAGTTGAAACAAGCTGCAAAGTATGGAGAAGTAAGAAGACTGCTTGTGTCGTCTTCTGATTGGAGATAATCACCATCAACAGAGCCTTCTAGGCAACATCTAGCAAATTTTAATATAAATCACAATTTTCCCCCTTTAAAGGAAGATAAATTTGACATAAATATCCGCTTAAAGGCAAGAAACTATTGATTTTTTTCTTGACCAGGTCATTCAGAGTTAAAAACGTTCGAGATTTTTCCTACAATTTTAAAATACAGTTTTAATCTTGAGTAGTAAACATTAAGGACAATATTTTCCACATCATTTCAGTTTCAGACATGATACACAATGTATTAAATACAATCGTTCTTAATTCGTAAGTAACGAAAAAAAAAAAATTTTTGTTTGACGGTGAAGAGGTTATATACACGAATCTTCCACAAAAGAAGTTTAAAATAACAAAACAATACAAATTCATGGTTTGATAAGATTTACCCGTCCAGGCATGAAAATTCATTTTGTTAAAACCGGCCAAGAGTGAAACATTTATTTTCGTTAATTACCAGGAAAGATTCAAATTATTTGAAATTTTACGAATATGCACTACGATTTAAAAACAATTGATAAAAATAAAATATATATATATATATTTCATTATAACAAAAGCATACAAGACTAGCAATATTGAGCTTGGAAGTTAAAATAGTTTACAATGTATTATTTCATCTCGCGAAAATCATAGCCTTCATGTTATTAAGGATTTGTGCTGCAGAACGGAAGAGCCAGTTCGGGGGAGAACTAAATTTTACACCGTTGTCAACTTAATGGACCTACCCCATTGAAGATTTATAATTAATAGGCTTTTCCAACGTCAAACTAAACAATTAATTGTTTACCTTCCGAAGGCCTCCTTTCTTTGCGAGGTATCGTGTATGTTTTAAAGGATCTGTTCGAATCGCGAGCGTCCCGGGCCATGCTATCAGATAAACTTGAGTGGCTATAACAGAAAAACATAGCAACAAGAAATTATTGCAGTCAATAACTTTTAGAAGGTCAGTATGCGCTGGAAACAAACAGGTTCACCATTAAACATGAAAAATTCAAACTTACAGTCCCGAAAATGCCAAACAAATTGCTAGGAATAATAATGATAATAAAACAATTATTCATGAAACAAGCGTCGTAATATTTTTGTTAGCTTTTTTTTCTGATTCTGCATATATATTCGCTTTCGTTCATAGCGCCTTCGAAATCTTACATAGGTGTTTATACCGAGACATAATTCGAAATTCCTTCTTCAAAACTCTGCGTGTCTCAATAAGCTTAACAATTAGAAAAACAGGCAAAATTTACATTTTCAATTCTAACCACCTGTCAGCCTGTTTATAACTGGGCAATGACGCAATACATGTATAAATTAATGGTACCTGAAAGAACTGCGGAGTTCTACCGGAAATTTCAGCACTGTGTTTGCATTCAAAGTTTTCGTCGCACTGTTTTTCAGCGTACACTTAGAAAATTACTCAATCGATAGCATCGGTTTAATTTCAACGAAGATTAAGATTATATTCTCAAGGAAGAAAAAGAACAGATAGCCGAAACTTTAAAACTGAATTCAAGCCTCGCATAACAAGCCCATATTTACATGAATATTAATTTTGCACGCGACGAGAAGTCAAATTCGCGCAGCTCGACTTTTATATTTACAGCGTGCAAACTTCGATTCTTACGCTTTGAAAAAACTTAAGCGTGAATGGTTTTCGCTTAAGAAAATTCTCTACTATTTAAAATCGAATACAATGGTTCTTCTACCTTCTTTCGCAGCTTATTGATTATAGTCAACGTAAAAATATTTGACAACTGGATGAGTCATCGTCCCGTGATCGCCAAATTGTAAAAACAAACTGCGTAAGCCCTATAAATTATTTTAAAACACCTACCAATGCAAACACAAATCTTCCCCTGCTGGTCTGTGGAAACGTTAGGAACCATTCCATCGACAATTTCGACCTGAATTTAGCTGCAAAAACACAACAGCGAGCTCAAGCGAACGGTGAACAACCTGCTTCCATTGAAACTGAAAATTTTGACGACGCGGCTGTCAATTGGTCGAGCAAAGACGTCACACAAAACATTTGTTTTGCGCGCCAAAGAAATGGCGCCAAGTCACCAATAACATGCGTGGCGTTCGCTTTGCCTAAGTCGCAAAGCAGAAATTCAAAAATAGCTCTCACAGTTAACAATAGTCTGAAAGAAACAAAGCACATACTTTCAAAGATATTCTTTCGCTCAGCGAGACGATACAACAAAGAAAGTTCAAGAAAGCAAATTAAATTCAACACCTTCCCATTCTTTAGTCAAATGTGGAAATATTAGTACAGTTAACTTCCTTAATCCAGAACTTTTAACGTGTAAACAAGAGACAGGAAATTACCTTCAAAATACATTTTATATTCTTTAACCCATTGTTTCCAATTGTCCTGACTTGCGTAAGCTGGGCAAGTGTTGTTTATAAATAAGATTTTCGCCAACAGTTTATACTTAGCCTGTGTAACAGCCGCCCTCCTCGAAGGCGGCTTTAATACAAGTTTCGTATTTTCGAGGAAGTGGCTTCAGTCGACCAGTGAAAAAAAAAAATAAAAAATAAAAATAAATAAATATATATAGATATATTCTGCAAAATTTACGGTTTCACACTTGCCATGTTAAAAGGTCTTCTCCTCATGCTTTTTTTTTTTTTTGCTTTCTTTTTCCCTCGCACTTCAGCGAAAACAAAAATTCTTTCCCTACATCGAACGGAAGCAGACCGAAAAATAGTGCTAAAATGCCAATTATTTCTGTCTTTCTAAATCCAAAGACTTCCATTGTGTTCATTGTTGGTGAGCCAAGTCATCACGTAAAGTTGAAACAAAGAGTTGAAAAATTAAAATGCATTCTTTCGACAAAAAATCCGTGGTCATCGAAACCGGCAGTGAGGCGCCTGTTTCTTTAGTTGCTTTGATTGATTTTGCTTCAAACTTTCCCTTTCATGGGCTACAAGACGCCGATCTGGATAGCTTAACTGAAATTAGAAATCTTACATCTAAAAAAATTACTAACAGCCGGCTAAGAAATGGGCGGAAATTTTAACTGATATAGCTGAGAAATTGCCGAAAAATTAGCTAATAACTGTCCCAACCACACCCAGATTCAATTTTGCTCTCTTCTTCCAGCGAGGGTCCCCCCAATTTAACAGCTTATAATTGGGCTTGATAATTGTCTGTATCCCATAAGCCCAACCCCCCCCCCGTCACCCTACTCATATGCCCTATCTTCCAACATTAGTGCTCAGTGTACTGAGTTCAGTTGAGTTTTGAGTTATTCAAGGGTATGTCTCCAACTCTTTCAAGCGTCCAGTCGCCGTAAAATCTTGAGCAGTGCTAGGAGCATATTATGCCAATTTTACGAGCACAATCGACAAAAGCTTAGTCGTCGTAAGCTTCTTATTTCTGTCATGCCTTGCAATTTTGCTCTGACTTTGTTCAGCAATGTTGTTGATAAATATGCAGTTGCAAAGACAATAGCGAGTTTAAGAAAACCACGACGGCAACGGCGACGTCGCTAAACCAAAGGTTTAATGAGCAATACAATGGCTGTGCAGGTGTGTTATAATTCGTGGTACATTTCTTTGCCGTCCTCTGCAAAACAACAACGTGAAATGACCGAATTCTGCGTTGTCTGGAGAACATGTACCACGACGGCTAATTTGCTAAATTCATATTTCGAATTTATCCATGTCCACTAGATTCAGTTTCGTGATAGCTTTGCTAGTGACAAACAAAGTAAATGACTTAAAGAGTACCGCGAGATTCGTAGGTAAATATAAATTCATTTTTTAATCGGCGTTGTTCTTGGCGTCGCTGTCGTGGTTTCTTAAGCTCCCTGATGTTTCTTGTATACAGTCGAGCTAACGGACACAGCCGTGGACAGACAACTCCTTTATTCGGCCGGACATTTAACTGAGAAGTCGAAAAAATACATCACCACATTTTTAACGCGCCAATAACCAGACACTTTTTCTAAGTGCTGGGCCATCACATTTTTGTTCCGAACAACAATTTTTCCTCGATTTGCGTCAGTTCCATTTCTGTTTTTATCGTGGCTATTCTGCAATATTATTCTCCCTCTCAAGCACGGGTAGATGAGACTTTCTAGATTCCAAGAGGGCTCGTGTCGGGGAGTTTAGAATGCATAGCCAGATGAACGGTCTGTTCGCATTTAACCAGCTTTGATCCCAGGCTCTCTCCTTTGTCTCCCTTGTCAACGAAGAGAAAGACTGGGATCGAGGTTCGCATTAGACTCCATGCTGAAACGTAACAGCCGGTCTACGGACTTCCCTTACGGACCGGGTTTATGTGGTCAGGGGTTTCAATAACATTAGTTATAAGCGCCCACTGAAGGTGTAATAGGCGGCTGTGACCACTAAAGGGGCCGTAAGGCCCTTTTTCCCTAAGGGATCTGTGGGCATGCCCCCCTTGAAAAATTTGGAATCTAGACGCTCGGAAGTGCGATTTCCAGCGTTCTGGACATCAAAAAGCGTGCTGTTGATGGGTGTTTTTATTGACCACAAAGCAGGATTTTTTTTGTTGACAAACTATTAATTTTTTGGCAAAGAGGTGCATTTTGAATACTTTTCTAGGCAGATATCTCTCAGTGACACTTGATATCCACTAAGGCAGTAATTTCTATGAAGTCCTTTCTTAAAACAAGTACAACTTCTCTGCTACTCATTCAAATGGACCAACATGGCAGCAAACTGATTTTTAACTCTTCAGAAAAAAATGAAATGAGATAAACTTTACAACAAAATTCTTTCTACTAATATTCTTACAAAACCAAACCTCATTTTCAACTTTTCATTGATTCTCCCACGGTTCATTATTCAGGTATTCAATAATCATAAAATAAAGAAAAATTAAATCATATTATTTAATCATTCAGATGTCTTAGGTATCCTGAGATTAACAGTGATAACACTGATCGGCGACTACAAACAACATGTACGCTACACCATTTTTATTTTCAGTAATGAAATCCAAACAGACGGCGGTAAGAGGTCCTACAGGCGCGGCGGTAGACCGCCGGTAACCGGCTTTTATTGAAACCCCTGTGTAATACATACCTCTTACTAACCGAGTTCGAGATCTGTATTGTAAATTACGGATCTTCGTTTTATCTCCTTCGATTTGCGCGCGGGTCATAATTATAAATAGAAGGGGAAGTAACTTACAGTACAGAGGTTAGTAAGATATTTATTATATCTCTACAGTGCGTCTGACGGCTTCGCGAACGATTCCTATATATTCACGCGGAACGACTTTCAAATTTCTGACACACGTCGAAAGTCCAAGTCTGTTAGTGTATGTATGTATGTATATGTATGTAACGCTCGCTGTATGTCGCTTTTCACCGACACGCCTGGTCTATCCAGACAACAAGTAAGTCACATCTCTATTTACCATTTTGTTTCTAAGGTGGTCCGTAAATGGCAAGGGTAGTCCGTGGACCTGGTCCGCGGTGGGGGTCCACGGACGTGGATTCAGTATTTTCAGGTTACCCGTTTCGTTTACGCTTTCCGGTCGCTGTTGGTGTATGCTTATTTCACTTAGCTATTCAGCAAGAGTCAGTTGATTTTTATCAGACATAAAGTTTCATTGTTTATATTCTGGCATAATACAAAGCCAATTCTTTGTTCAAGAGGATGCTGCAGTTTGAATATACATGTACAAAGCAGGACATGGGTTTCAACTGCTCGGCACAATGCGGTGAATGCCTGGGTTTGTACAACAAATAACTTGCTTCATTTTTCTCAACACTCAACGATACTGTACTAGCGGAAACTGTCTGTATGTGTTTTGGTAAGGCAAATCGAGTTTGTAAAAACAAGCTGGTAAACGTAATACATTAGTTTGCCGAAACGGTTGCTGACATATGCAAAATACAGTAGCATTTATTAAA